GAGGCCAGCAGGAGCCGGGCAGCAGCGGGAGCACGTGTCGCCGCTGCAGGGATGAGGTCCACTTTGACCCCCGCCAGAGGGGCCTCACTGAGAGCCGAGTGTTGGTGGGGGGGCTGCGAGCACACGTGCCCTACATCCTGGAGGTGCAGGCTGTCAACGGGGTGTCTGAGCTCAGCCCGGACCCTCCCCAGGCTGCAGCCATCAATGTCAGCACCAGCCACGAAGGTGAGCCCTTTCCTCGGCCTCAAGGGTGCCCTGCCTGGGCTCCCCAGCACCCCTTCCCCTCTCCCGCCTTCCAGCCCACCTGCTGGAGCTCCGTCCGGTCCGCTCCAACCCGTGATGCTCCTGCTCCAGGAATCCCCGTCCCCCTAACGACCCGCCCCCTCCAGTCCCCTCCGCAGTGCCCGTGGTGCACCAGGTGAGCCGGGCGTCCGACAGCATCACGGTGTCCTGGCCGCAGCCCGACCAGGCCAGCGGCAACATCCTGGACTACCAGCTCCGCTACTATGACCAGGTGGGCAGCGGGGGGCACCGAGACGGGGCTGGTGGCAGCTCGCAGTGCTCAGGGTGGGGGCTGGAGGTCAGCGGGGCAAGGCCAGGTGCAGGCGGCCTGCGCAGGGAGTGAGCCTGAGAGCCCAACGGCCAGGGAGGGTGGCTGGGGTGAGAGGGGCGGGCAGGGAGTGAGTGGCTGTTACCCCCAGGCAGAAGACGAGTCCCACTCCTTCACCCTGACCAGTGAGACCAACACCGCCACCGTGACACAGCTGAGCCCCGGCCACATCTACGGCTTCCAGGTGCGGGCAAGGACCGCTGCTGGCCACGGCCCCTACGGGGGCAAGGTCTACTTCCAGACACTGCCTCAAGGTGAGGGAGCCTGGGGGGCCCAGTGGGGTGGGGGGCCCAACGGCGTAGGGAGGACAGGCCTGGGGACTGTCCCGACCTTGCACCCTGGCACAGTGTCCTCCTGACCGGCGGTTCTTCTCTCTGTGGGAGAAGAGGGTGCTTGTGGCCAAGCTGACCTTAGGGGCTGTCTCTGTAGGGGTGGGGGTTGTGGGAGTGTGTAGGGGTGGGGGGTTGTAGGTGTGTGTAGGGTTGTGGGTGTGGGGGGTGTTGTGTGTGTTGTGTGGGTGTTGTGTGTGTTGTGTGGGTGTGGGTGTGGAGGGTTGTGGGTATGTATGTCAGGGGCATTCGGGGTGTGTAGTGGGTGGGTGGTGGCTGGCTGGGCACGTGGGCAGGTGCATGTGGGAGGCCTAGCCCACCTGTGACTCCAGCGCTGGTCCCCCAGGTGAGCTGTCCTCCCAGCTTCCGGAGAGACTCTCCTTGGTGATCGGCTCCGTCCTGGGGGCCTTGGCCTTCCTCCTGCTGGCGGCCATCACCGTGCTGGCCGTGGTCTTCCAGCGGTGAGCCCCAGCCTGCCCACCCTGCAGACACATTCACTCCTCCAGGCACGACCCCAAGTCCTGCCAAGTCCTGGCAGCCCCGGCCACTGCAGAGACGCCACCAACGCCCCTCCCACTACCCAGCGCTGCCCTGGGCCCCACACGGGGGTGGGAAGGAGGGGCCCGGCATCCCTCCCTCCGCAGAAGGGCTGGAGAGGGCAGGGGTGGAAATGGGAGTGTCATTCCAGGCCCTGGTTTGCCCCTCAGGAAGCGGCGTGGGACGGGCTACACGGAGCAACTGCAGCAGTACAGCAGCCCAGGTGGGGTCGGGGGCGCTGGGGGCCCGGGCTGGGTGCAGACAGGGCTGGGTGCCCCCACGGTCAAGGGGAGCTCCTGTGCCGTCATCCAGAAGTGAGAGGGCATGTCTGGGGTGTGTGGGCAGCACCCCCTTGCACCGCACCCCATAACATCCTCCACACCCCTACAGGGCTTGGGGTGAAGTATTACATCGACCCCTCCACGTATGAGGACCCCTGCCAGGCCATCCGGGAACTTGCCCGGGAGGTGGATCCTGCCTATATCAAGATCGAGGAGGTCATTGGGACAGGTACTGTAGGGGCGGGGGATGGGATGGGAGGGCTGGGCTCCCTTGTGGGCCTCCCTTGGCCAGAGTCCCGTCTAAACACAACAGGCCACTGTGAGCCTGTGGCCCTTCCTTGGCCCCCACCCCCAACCTGCACCTGTCCTCCCAGGCTCTTTTGGAGAAGTGCGCCGGGGCCGCCTGCAGCCCAGGGGACGGCGGGAGCAGGCTGTGGCCATCCAGGCCCTGTGGGCTGGGGGTGCCGAGAGCCTGCAGATGACCTTCCTGGGCCGGGCGGTGGTGCTGGGCCAGTTCCAACACCCCAACATCCTGCGGCTGGAGGGCGTGGTCACCAAGAGCCGACCCCTCATGGTGCTGACGGAGCTCATGGAGCTCGGCCCCCTGGACAGCTTCCTCAGGGTCAGTCCAGCTTGGGCAAAGGAGGAGGGTCATTGGGTCCAGGAAACTTGGGGTTCTCTGCTCTTCCAGGAGATGGGGCCCTGTCTTTGCTCCTCCCACCCCTTCCATGGTGTCATCCTTCCTTCCCAGGCCATTTCTGATTCCTACGTCTGCACCCCCTTCCCTCTCATGCCGACGTCTGCTGTGCAGTGTCAAGGTCTCCTCCCCTCCATCACTGACCTCTGCCCTTTGCCCCTCAGCAGCGGGAGGGCCAGTTCAGCAGCTTGCAGCTGGTGGCCATGCAGCGGGGAGTGGCTGCCGCCATGCAGTACCTGTCCAGCTTTGCCTTTGTGCACCGCGCACTCTCTGCCCACAGCGTGCTGGTGAACAGCCACCTGGTGTGCAAGGTGGCCCGTCTTGGCCACAGTCCTCAGGTGAGAGCACAGCCTTGGGGCTCAGCACCCTTCGGCAGGTGCAGGAGGGTGAGCTGGCATCTAGGGTGGGTACCTAAGGTGGGATATCATAGTGTCTAAAGGGAGGAGGCTCCCCGCTGTGGTGGGGAGGTAGAAGCCTGGTAAGGTGGGTATTGAGGGATTTCAGGGACCAAGGCAATGGAAGCAGACTGGGGAGAGCAGGAGACCTGCAAGAATCTAGAACCATCTCCTGCCCAGGAGATAATATCATCCGCCCTACAGGGTTGTTATGAGGATTAAACGAGATGCATAGTGTAAAACCCTAGACACACATCTGAGCACATAGTAGTTGCTCAATAAACATGACTGTTGCTACAATTATTACTTCTGCTACTTTCGGCTTCACTCCTCAGGGCCCAGGTTGTTTGCTGCGCTGGGCGGCCCCAGAAGTCATTGCACACGGAAAGCATACAACAGCCAGCGACGTCTGGAGCTTTGGGATAGTCATGTGGGAAGTGATGAGTTACGGAGAACGGCCCTACTGGGACATGAGTGAGCAGGAGGTGAGCGCTGGCCTAGCCACTGCTGATTCCCCACCCCCGATCCCTCCCAGGACTGAAACATTCCAGGATTTCCATTCCTAATCCATTCAAGTTCTAAGATCTCATGTCTCTTGGATTCCATATCTTTAAGTTCCTTCCTGGCTCCAACCGCATGCTCTACTAGATTCCAGCCTATCCCCTTACCCCATCCCATACTCCCCTCTACTAGCCATAACCTCCCACTCTCACATTGTTTCTCTGACTCCCAGGTACTAAATGCAATAGAGCAGGAGTTCCGGTTGCCCCCGCCTCCAGGCTGCCCTCCTGGACTACATCTGCTTATGTTGGACACTTGGCAAAAGGACCGTGCCCGGCGGCCTCAGTTTGACCAGCTGGTGGCTGCATTTGACAAGATGATTCGCAAGCCAGACACCCTGCAGGCTGGCGGGGACCTTGGGGACAGGTCTGGAGCTTGGGGCTGGAGCCTGGGAAAGCCAGGGAGGGTAGATGCAAACCAAAAAGCAAACTGAGGAGAAGGGGCTAAGATGAAGAGGAGATCTTGACCCGCTTGCACCTTCCCCCTTAGGCCTTCCCAGGCCCTTCTGAACCCCGTGGCCCTGGACTTTCCCTGTCTGGACTCCCCCCAGGCCTGGCTTTCGGCCATTGGACTGGAGTGCTACCAGGACAACTTCTCCAAGTTTGGCCTCTGCACCTTCAGTGACGTGGCTCAGCTCAGCCTGGAGTAAGCAGGGAGGGGGTGGGGCGAGTGCCCTGGGCCCCAGGCCAGGGGTCGTGCAGGGCATCGTGGAGAAGCTGGCCCACGTTTGACCCCCTCCCTCCCCACCAGAGACCTGCCTGCCCTGGGCGTCACCCTGGCCGGCCACCAGAAGAAGCTGCTGCACAACATCCAGCTCCTTCAGCAGCACCTGCGGCAGCCGGGCTCAGTGGAGGTCTGAGGCCTGGGCAGGAAGCTGTGGACTGACACTGCCCCAACCCTGCCCTGGACACAGGCTGAGAAGGGACATGGGAGACGTGAGCCAGGCTCCCTCTCGGCCTCCGTGAGAGATGCCCACAGCAAACCCAGCTGTCCGACGGATGCTGCATCTCCAGCCTCCGCCCCTCCACCAGCCTCCCCACATTAAAGGGAAAGAAGGGAATTGGCCAGTTCAGGTGTGGTGAGGCCTAAGTCTGCAAGGAAGGGCGGGGAGGCCTTGCAGGAGGAGCCCGAGGGGCGGGGCGGGCAGATGGCACGCAGAGATGCTGCAGAGATGCCGAAGGGGAGCGGCAGGGAGCAGGAAATGACTTTATTATTGGGAGGTGGGAGGTGGCAAGACTCTACCCTACCGCACTCCACCCCTGGGGTAGCACCCGGTCTCCCTCCTCTACACACCTTGCCACAAGCCCCACGCCTGCCCTGAACTCGTCTGGAGCAACCTGGGAAGGGCCCTTTCCCTTCCCACTTATCACACTGGGCTGGAGACGGGTGCCTGAGGGTGCGGCCCGTCCTAAAGTGCTCTGATGTGCGCGGTGCCCTTGGAAGGTTGGGGCCTGGGACACCCCTGCCCGGCTCCGCCTGCCGGGAGCTGGAGGAGTGGTGCAGACCACGTGACACACACGCATCCCCTGGCGCTCTTTGGACTCTCCTTTCCCGTGGTTCCGGGAGATGGGACCTCTAGGTGTGTGTTGCTGTGTGGTTTGGGTTTTGTTTTGATGTTCCCAGAAAAATGAGAGCGACTTCCTGAGGCCAAGTGAGCGCGCCCTCAGATCTGGTATTCCCAGCCCTCCCAGTCCTCCAGGCCCTTGCCGATCAGCCCCCGCAGGTCTCTCCTCAGGGTCCCCTGCCGAAGCCTTTCCCAGTTGGCGCTGCTGCGGGAGGTACTTCGAGACACCGAGGGTGTAGAAAAGGACAGGTGGGGCCTGGAGGGGAGGCCCAGCTGTAGTTTTTGCATCGAGCCCTTGTCCAAGTCCTCGGAGTCCAGGGTGTGGAAGGCCTGGGCGTAGCGTAGGAGCCGCTGCCGGTTGACGTCCTGCCTGTCTTCCACCCTGTGGAGCGCGGAGGACGTGAGGGGCAGCTGGGAATGCAAGAGCACCTCCAAGACCGAGGCTTGTCTCTCTCCCGGCCCCACCGCTGGTGGCCTTTCCCTTCTCTGCGGCCCGTGTGGGTGATGTGGCCACCGGCCCTCGGCGGCCAGGCCTCGGGAAGCAGCGGCTGTGGTCCACCGGCTCTGGGGACACTTCGAGGGGTCCCAGCTCCTAATGGGGCCCTTTCCTCACCAGCTCGGTCAGCGGGCTTGGGGCCCCTGGGAGCAGCAGGTGGTCCAAGCTGAGGGACACCATGCAGACAGCGCTGCTCAGGGGACACCCGCCCCCATGACACTCACCGCAGGAACCAGCGGTCCCCCAGGCCATACTCGCGCCCGCAGATCCCAGAGCGCGGCCACAGGCAACGAGGCAGCTTCCGCTCCAGCATCACTGTGGTGGCCACGACCTGCATGTGGGGACAGAGGGGAAGTCAGATATGAGTCGGGGCACAGACGGAGAGATGAGAGCTGTAGACTGAGAAGAAGGCGGGGGATGGAGGCGCGGCAGCTTAGCAACACGAAACCGGAGCTCATGGTTTCCCAGGGATGAGGAACAACACCCCTGATCTGGAAGGTGCTGTGAGCTTTGCTGATCCTCCCCTGTGGGAGAAAGTTGATGGGACTTGAGCCCCATGATTCTTCACCCAAGTGACCTGACTCCATGGCAAAGCCTGGCAGGAAGCAGGGTGGGATGTAGGAGTGGGTGCAGGTGGGATGTGGGGGGATGCAGGCAGGATACAGGAGGGATGCAGGCAGGACTCAGAAGGGATACAGATGGGATGCAGGAGGCAGAGAGACCTGTTCCAAAGAGAACAGGGACCAGAGCAAAGCAGATAAAAAGGAGTCTTAAGGGCTCCTGGATATTTTGTCCCTACAGACATGAAGGCCTCTTATAAACATCCCACTTAGAATGTCAATGTATGTTCATGGAGAAAATATTTTCCTGAGCAAACCCCATTTAGCAATTAAATGCCTTTCAGTTTGGGGAATTTCCACTTTTATTTTGCTGAAATTAACTTTTTGAGATAAATTCATTTCTAAGTATATAATTTTTAATGAGGATTTGATTCACCTAATGGCTTTCTGTCTCCACGATGATCTGACTGAGGATAGCTTTTGCTATGATAGGAAGTTTTTGTGGCATTATTTTTAACATGTCCAATTTTTCTGGGTCAAATTGTGCAGACTTAAATATTGCCAAGAAGACTTGATACTCCAGTGTTTATTAGGGAACAGAATTTACTGGATGTGGTTTTAGCCACTGTTAGCTTTATTTCTTGTTGATTATTTCAGAGAAGACTGAGGTTTTAATGGTTGAGGAAACTGTGAAGAGTTCTTTCCAGCAATTCCAATACCGCTGGGTTGCATTGTTAATCCAATTCTTGTGTACCCTTGCACGATTTTGTATAGCGTGCAACAACTGTCCAAACATACGGCGGGTTCTAAACACCCTACCTCTATCTGAGCCTGACCAGCTCCTTGGCAGGAAGGGCCTGGCTTGCACTAAGCCCCAGCCCCAGGGGCTCACCTGGGCCCTCCAGAGCTCGTCCCGCTCATGGGCCACCCGCCAGTGCGTGTCTCCCATCATGGCGATGAGGAGGTTGAGCATGAGCAGCGTGGCGATGATGGCGAAGGCAGCATAGGTGACACTGTACATGATGGGCAGATCCACGTCGTAGTTGGCAGGGCCATCGATGATGGTGAGGAACAGCTCAAAGGTGCTGAACAGGGCCATGGGGTAATCGTAGAAGTGGCCCAGCTCTTCGGGGTCCTGGGTCTGGAAGATGACATAGAAGGCTGCTCCACCCAAGGGGGTGAGGGTTACCTTGGTAACCATATAGGTGACTTGCCCACACCCAGCTCACTGCTGCCCATGTTGGTCCTGTGCCCTCATCTCTGGTATCACCGCTCCAGCCCCCCAGTGCTCCACACTTTGGGTTTTATGGTCCATTATGTTCTACAAGGTTCACACTCCCGATTTCGAGAGCCACTGCTGCCTAACATTCCCAATTTTCTCTCACCTCTGGGGCACGTCCCATCTGCAGACATCGTACGGCGTCCTCTGATCTCTGCCTCCTCTCCCTTCCCCAAGTTCAGCCACAGGCATCTGTGCTCTCTAGGTCCCTCAACCTCTCCCTCCCGTGGCCCCCATTCTGGACAGATGATTTACCTGAAGCAAAGCCCAGGATGACCACAGCCATCAGCCAGCAGAACCGCATCAGGTCTCCAAAGATCATCTAGGGAGGGAGGAGGCAGAGAGAACATCTCCACACGTTCCCTGAGCAACTGCCCCCTCCCACCTCCAGTGAGCCTAACGTAGGCGGGGGCGGCAAACTATGGTCCTCGGACCAGCCCCACCTGCCTGTCTTGGTATGGCCTTTGAGCGAAGAATGGCTTTTACATTTTTAAAGGATTGTTAAAAAAAGAAGAGGATGATGAACAAGACTGTGTGTAGCTTGCTAAACCTAGATTGCCTACTATTTGGCCCTTTACAAAACTGTTCGCTGACCCCTGCTCTGGGACCTTTCTGTAGGAAACTTGGGGGGAAGGCACTGACCTTCTGGATCATGATGGTGAAGGGGCCCAGCATCTGGAATCCTCGGGCAAAGTACATGACATTGCACCAGCCCAGCACCAGGGCCAGGGACATGGGCACCACCTCCCCGTTGGTGTTGGTGAGCCGCATCACCATGGTTACCAGCACCATGAAGGCGTAGGTGATGCTGGGGGAGGGCAGAGGGGAGTGATGAGAGGAGGGCTGGATGATCCGGGGGACCCGATGACAAGAATGGAACTGGACAGCACCCACACACTCAGAGTCAGCCCTCACACGCTCGACACACAGAGTCACGCACGCACAACTGGAGAGGCGCCTCTGGAGCTGAGGTTCGCCAGAGGTCAGGGGTCCAGGAAGTGGAGCTGGAGCCCTGGCAAGGGAAGGGCTGAGGCTGGGAGAAGGAGACTCACATGAGGACATGAAATGGTCCCCCGAGGATGGTATGTCCAAAGAAGCGAGTGACCCCCATCCTGAGGATGTCTGGAATCTGGAGAGAAGTCAGGGAGACGCAAAGGTGCTGGTAGACCGGAGCTCGAGCCGGATCCCAGGGCAGACAGCCTCACCCCGGGTCCCAGCCACACCTCACCTCTACCAGCAGGATGACCAGAGCCCCGATGACGGTCACCAGCTCCCCCGCCAGCCGCACGTCATCCCTGGAGGTCACATAGGCTTCCTGGGGTAGGGGAAGGATGGTCAAAGCACACAGGGTTCCCAGCATCTGCCCTGCACATGCCGGGCTCCCGTGGCCACAGCCCATCAGAGCCTTTGCAACCTGTTAGGCTCGGCTATTCTCAAACTCTGCTCTTAGAGTAAGAGCATATGCATGTTGCTGTGGGTTCTTTGAGTCCATACCCAGATATTTGATACCTGGGTGAGGGGAAAAATGTGGGTACGAGGACAGGGAAGCGATACCCGTCTGAGAAAGAGCAGAGAGCCGAGCTCTACAGATCTGCTACTCCTAGGGGGTCACCTGAAGTAGCTTCTGCTGCAGGAGAGTGCTGTCCCGGGGGCTGGTGCGGTTGGTGGTCCGGGCCTTGAGCGGGCGGTAGACACAGCACATGGTGAAGCAGACGATGTAGAGTATGTAGATGGCCCCCAGCACGCAGAAGTACGGCCGCCCGTACCGCCGCCACTTGAGGCTCACCAGCTCCTTCACCGGCGTCTGGTCCAGGATCTGGCGAGCCTGAGGCAGGAGGGAGAGCGGGCGGCTCAAAGGCCGGGCCATCCCCACAGGGCGTGTGGCCACAACGACCCGACCCTACCTCCCGCTTTTTGGTGGTGACGATGAGTTCCAGCAGGGACTGATCATCCCCTGAGGAGTCAATCTCCGTGAGGTCGTAGAGGGTGGATGTCAGCGGCCCGTACGTCCACTGGATGTGCTTCCGCTTCTGCACCAGGTGTCGAAACATCTGAGAAGGGTGGGGAGGTCAGGAGCTGCCGGCAAAGGGGATGGTCCCAGAGCAAGGGTGGGAGGGGAGCCCGGAGGACAGCACCAGGGACAGGGTGGGCGCGCTTGTCTTCTCGGCCACAGCCATTTGGGGCAGAGGAACCCACGGTCATGCTGACGCCCTGACTCCCTCCACCAGGCCTCTCCCCGGAGCTTGGAAAAGGGAGCTTGGGGTGGGCCTGAGGGCTTAGGAAAGGGAGGTGACAGGCTGGAGGGCAGCTGCCCTGGGGCAGAGAGAGCAGGTGGGCCTCGGCATCACAGGCAATCCCAGCATGGGACCCAGATCTGTAAGCCCCCCACACCCCAGGGGAGAAAGGAAACAGGGGACAAAGGAAATAGGGGTTGAGAAGGACATCCCAATCTAAGTAGGGAATGGCCCCTCACTGTCAGGGCTGTGTGTTCACATCTGTTTGCTCCCGGGGCCAGCAGGGTAGGGTGAGGATCACTGGAAAGACACCGCAGACATGGGGGCGTCCCTCACCATGGTGTTGCCCTCCACTCCAGCCAGCTTGAAGGGGGTGAGCCCCTGGTGGTTGGGCACAGCCTCCAGGGGCTGCAGGTGGTCTCCACGGCCATCGTAGGACAGCAGCAGGTTGTACATCTGGCAGGCAAAGGTTTTGTTGGGCTGGAGGATGAGGATGTGCAACACTGTGTTTCCTGGCGGAGGACACAGAGTGTCACAGGCCCACTGGCCTAGAGTCCCTGATGTCCCCATCCACACCTGGGGTGGGCCTGGGACCTGTCCCAGCCCCTCCCCTCACCCCCTGGCAGCAGCCAGCTCCCCTCCCCACCTCAGCTCTTACCCAGGGAGTCCTGAGCCCGGATGTCGGCTCCGTGCTCAATGAGCAGCCGCACGATCTCCTCGCTGCCCACACAGGCGGCAAAGGACAAAGGGTGCTCCCCTGGGGACGCAGAGGGATCCGTGGCAGGAGAGCACAGCACGGCAGGATGGGATGGGCCACGTCCCCCACATGCCTGCCTGCTCACCCACACCTCAGCTTGGGTCTTGGGGACACTCGTCTGGCAGAACCAGAAGAAGGGCTGTGGGAATTGGCCTCTGGCCTAATTAAGCCCTGGAAGGGCTGCCCGTCCCGGCTGCGGGGCAGATAGAGCCGAGGGCAGGGCCCCCTCTATCCTTGCCCACCTCTCCATCCTCCCAGCCCAACCTGCTCTCACCGAAGTAGATGAGGTTCCGGGGACTGAGGCGGAAGGCGGCACCCGTGGCTCTGGCAGAGACGCTGGCCCCGTGCGCCAGCAGGGCTCGCACCAGGTTCACGTTCTGGTTCACGACAGCGATGTGCAGTGCGGTCTGGCCTGGCCGGGAGACAGTCGTCAGTCACGGGACTGTCCCCAGGATCCTGCAGCCACGCCTCCCATGAGCACCCATGGTCTTCCTCCCCGAGGGGCAGCCTGGAATTTAGGGCAGGAGCCCTGGGGTGCTCACGGTTCCCAGGGGATGCACCTGCTGCCTGTCTCTTTCCCTTCTCGGGGCCCCTGGCATTTCAGGGTCAGGTGTCCTAATGATGTGCCATCAGGACTGACAAGGAGGAAGGAAGACAGGGAAGGGAATAAAGACCAGGGAGGCGCAGATCCCCTCTTTGGCTTCCCCAAAGTATCCACCACAGAGGCTGACGAAGTCTCCAGCAGGTCACTCCTGCTGTCCACGGCGGGCCCCTGGGCCCCTCACCTTCATAGAGTTCTGATGTCATGGGCTCAAAGACCAGCTCGGGGGCAGCCTCCATCAGCAGGATGGCGGCCTCCAGGTTGTCATAGAGGGCTGCCACGTGCAGTGCTGTCTCCCCCATGGCTCCTGCCATTTACAGAGAGAAGGGTCACATGAGGTGGGGAATGGGGACTGTGCAGAGTCAGGTGCCCACAGCACGAGGTCCCAGGCTCTCCTGGGCAGCCCTGGTGTGGGGCTGGCCCAGGACGTTGGTGCCGGGGACCCTGCTCCCTACCTCTCTGGTGCACCTCACAGGCCTTAAACTTGAGCAGCTTGTTCAGAGCCTGGACATCGTTCTCTTTGGCAGCTAGAAGGAAAGGAGACTCCCAGATCCTACAAGGGAAAGGGATAGAGAAGGCGGCAATGATGAGCGTGCCCAGTTGTGGAGCAGGGGCCCTGGCTTGGCTCCATTCTACACGGATGTGTGTGCCCGGCAGTGAACCCCAAGGTCCTCGATCAAGGCAGGCTGGCCCATGAAGCGCAAAGGCTGCCGATGCCTTTTCTCCTGACAGTCAGTTAACACAAACGTACTTTCTGCCCATTTAGCTTGTGCGGGACTGTTTCCTATTCCCTTGGATGCTGGAACCGGAATATATGATGTGTGGATGTATTCTCTGTGCATTCCAGGCAAGGAGAAGAGTTTTACTCAAACACATATTCACCTCCTGATGGGTAGACCCCTGGAGTGGTCCTGTTTTAGCCTCACCTGGTGCCCTGAGATTGCCCTGTGGGCTAAGCCTTGTTTGGCATAGACTCAGGGTGCAGGGAGTTCCTCTCCCCTATTTGTGAGGAAGTTGACATGCAGAGGCCACTGGGTTTCCTCCCACCACACTGTGCTCTGCCAACCCAACCTCTGCAAAACCCTCAGTCCTGGCATTTTCGTCTCTGCAGTAGCTTCTCCAGGGCTCAACCCGAAAGCAACAGTGGCCCATGAGAACAAGCCGGGCTCCAGGCTTCCCTTCCTCCCGGGAGCTCATTCAGTCATTCATTCACTCATTTTCTCTCTTTCTCTCTCCCCTTTTCTTCTCACTTCTTAACGTCCCCAGTCTTCCTCCACAAAGTGGACCCCAGAGTGTCAGCATCACATGGGCTCTTACAAGAAATGTAAACTCTCAGGCTCACCCTTTGACCTAGTAAACCAAAATCTGCAGTTTAAGAAGATTCCCCAGCTGATTCTTGTGCATGTTGAAGTTTGAGAAGCATTGCTCAAGTATTTGAGTGTGGTCCCTGCATATGAAAACCTATGGCCATAAATCAGAAGTGTGCTGAGGGGTCTCTATTTCAGACAGCCCACATTAAAGTCTGGGAAGCAATGTTCTCCACCATTCCCAGGCCAGCTGTCTATAGGGCCTCGGGTGCTACTTCATTTTGCCTATTAGCACCTATGGAGACATAAACTGTGGCCAACAATGATAGAAGACAGAGAAACAAGAGGATCCAATTTAGAGGATTCATTTATTGAATTTCACGTGGACCTCCCTAAATATTCCCGTTCTGCCCTCCAACCCTTCTCGGGTTTACCCAATTTTGGATTCATGTATCCTTTTTTTGGTTCTTGTCCCTCAGTTAGATTATTGTCTCTCCTTACTTATTATCCACTTCTCACTTATTTTAGGCAAAATCATTCTCTGACTCCCCAGACCATGTCTCTAGTCTTATTCCTACAGTGAACTAAAAATGTTTTTTAAAATCAAAACTTACCCCAACTAAGACACATGGGACACTTTGATTCAATTTTCTCTCTCGGCCTGGAGCCATTTGGTTTTTCTACGGGGAGTGAATGAAATAACCCAATTTACCCATAGATGGCCAATTATGTGACCCACAAAAAGACACAGACAGGAGCTCACACCCTGAAGTGATGGCAGCGGCAAGAAATCTCCTCCAGAGCTGGGGCGGGAGGACCATCAGAGAGGAGCCACATGCCCACACATCTCCCCTGCATGTCACACGGGCAGCCACCAGACCCTGTCAACTTAGCATCTAAAGCTCTCCCTCAATCCAGTCCCCAACTTTCTTGCCCCTACTCACCTTCACCAATTCATGTCCTCATTCTCCAGCCCAAGATTAGCAAAATCTCCTAACAGCTTCTCTGCACCCTGTCTACCCCCAATCCATGCTTCTCCATGCTGCCGAGACAATCTTTCTAAATGGCAAACGCAATCGCAGCTCACAAAAGTCTGATGGGTCCCTAAATGCCCAAGGAGAAGGAACACAGAAGCCCTTACAGTCTTTGTGCAACGACTTTTCCACCCTCTGCTCCTCCCGCCCACTCCTTACACCTGGCATTTCGGCCTCACCACATGCGTCAGCACCGCGGAGCACACTCTTCTCCCCGTGTCTGTGCCCACAGGGTCCTCCCTCCTGGAAACCAGCTCCCCCAGCCCAAGCACTGTTCATTGTGCCCAGAGATACGCCGGGCTAGAGTAGGTGCTCACTGACACCACCTGTGGAAGGAAGGCACCAGCAGCAATGCCAAGGGGTGGTTTGGCTTCACTGCCCTCCTTCCTGTCTCCATCAGCCACCCCCAAAGCCAACCTGCAGCAAACGTATGAACTAAGTGAAAAGTAGCGTGCTTGGTGTGCAAATACAGCTGCAAAACAAGCTTTCGACGCCCCCTTCACCACCACCCTCCCAACAATTTGCCCACACTTCTCCGCAGATCTCCTAGAGCCAGCACTGGAATGGGGGGAACAAAGACCACTTCCTGCACACACCACACACACACCGTCTCCAGGAAGTTTTTCACTCTCCTCTCTGGCCTTACTCTTATTCTGGCATCTTTTACTGTGTGCTGTAATCAGTCCCTGTCTCTTCCTCTACACGGAGGGCAGAGACCAGCTTACTCATCTTTGTACCTCTTCCCTGCCCTCCTCCAATTAGCTTCCAGTTTTGTGCCCCATTTTGACCACCTGTGTGAAAAGTGAATGGAAAGTCTAGAAACAAATCCAAGGGGGGTGACTTATCTGAGTCCAGAGTTTTTGGAGCTCCCTGCCCTCTAAGAGATGAGTGGTGGTGTAGTCAGAGGCAGGCCCAGAGAGTTCCCCTGAGTCCCTATACAGCTCTGAAGCCCACACATGTCCCCCATAAGTCCCCGTTCTCTCTATAAAATCCTTTTCTAGCCTCTGCTGACACTTTAGTGGGTCTGGGGAGGACAAGAAGCTATTTTCAGATCTAGGGTTGACAGATTTACCAAATAAAAGTACAGGATGCTCAGTTAAACTTGAATTGTAGACACAGAACTATTTTTTAGTGTAACTAAAGTATGTCCCACGCAATATTTGGACATCTTTATACTAACAACTTATTATTTATCTGAAATTCAGTTGAACTGGGTGTCCTGTATTTTACTGGCAACCTAGTCAGACCACACCCTGGGTGAAGAATTAGCTTATGACCCAATCCAGCAAGGTTTGTAGAGAACTGGCCCCTTCCAGTTGCAAACTCCAGAATCCAGCACCAAGGAGGTTTGGTGGATGTGTGGACAGGTTCCCGGGATTTGAGACAGAGCCATTACTTGCAATAACATAGGACAGCCACAAGGGGACAGCAGAGAAAGCCCCAGCTCTCATTCTTGGCAGCAAGGCTGACTCCAAACACCTGCCTGTCCTTGGGCCCCACATAGCGGGTGCACAGAGCAGACGTAGCCCAAGATTCTTGTGCTTGGGGCACAGGGATTTCCTGGGCAGCCCACCACAAGAGTTTAGATCACAGCCAGGGAGAAAAGGGCAGGGACGCTGCTAAACACCCTGCACAGAACAGCCCCCACCCCCACCACAAACAATTATCATGCCCCAAATGTCAACAGTGCCAAGGAGGAGAAACCCTGATTCAGAAGCGCAATTTTAGAAATGATATTCTTCACACTAAAAAAAAATTAGAAATTCCTGATACATAAAAAATGCTTTCTTACGGATCATTAAGTACTCAACTAAAGGAGAAACAAAAGGCGAAGCCTTTTAAACTCCCACTGATTAAGTAGCAAAAAGAAATTATAGAGCAAATCTGAAATTATAACAATATGAAAGGCATTTTCAGGTTCTTGTATGTTTTGTGTTATTGGGCAATTAATTATAAAATTGAACAGTCAGTTCAATATTAGACTGGTGGAAACCCAACTGTGAGGTTCCTCGCACAAAAACTATCATAGTTTCTTGTTGAGTAAACAAATCAATAATCTGCCCCTTAGAGCCTCCTCTGGGCCACCAAGTGGGGATTGCCGCCTTCCCCTCTCCCTGTCCCCCTCTGCCCCACACCCCTGCTGCTCCCCCGTCCTCATGGAAGTGAACACCATGTGTGCATAAGTCAGGTTTCGTTTTTAGTTGCTGGGAAACAAGGCAGGATCAAGACAGTCTTGAGAAAAGTTCAGATCAGAATTTTAGAGCTAGGACGGCCTCAGAAATCAAGTGTCATCTGTTCATGTATCAGATGGAGAAAGAAGCTGGAGCCCTGAAGTGACTTGTCCAAGCAAGTCACAGGCAGAGCCGGATGAGTGCCCATTTTGTCACTTCTCTGTCTGTATTCTCTGTGTATTAGGGTTGGAGGAGAGAGAAGACGCAGGGGACTGTGGCACACGCATGGGGCTCACTAGACCGTGAGTGTGCCCTCGGGGCGGGGTGGCGCACAACTCCTGCGTGCAGACGCATGCTGGGTGAGTACATTTCTGTCTGGAGGGTGTTCACAGCCTCTCTGACGCGCTCCTTTTCCATATCAAAGCAGCATCTCACTTAGCAATTTAGCTCTTCACAGCCTTCGAACATGGACTGAGTAATTCTCCCATGTTTCAGAAAAGGAGACTGAGGCAGCATGGCCAAATTATTGCCAGAAGATCACAGAGTTAAAGGCAGAATTCTTGGCCAAGAATCTAGCCCCAGGCTCTTACCACTAAATTATGTGGTTCTTCTAGTTTTATGGCTCCTCCTGTTTCTTCTTGGGGGGTGGGGGGCAGGTCCCAGCAGTGGCCACAGATGAAGGAAAGAGCAGTCATGTGTGGGGAGGAGGCATACACCTGGCGCTTGTGAGCCACCCCCTCGGGCGCAGGTTCCTGGCAATGGGATAAAGAGGCGAAGCCCTGGGGAAAGTGGCTATTCAGAGACTTGGAGCCAGGCCGCCTTCCTAACCGCCGGGACTCCTTTTATGCACGTAAGTAGACGTGTGTGTATGTGTTTGCCGAGGCGGGCGTGCGCGATACATTGGAGCGACCCTGGGCTGCTCACAGACACTTCAATTCATGTACATTCAGACAGGTCTCCATCTGACCCCAGGAAACCCTGCAGTGTGCACTGCCTGCCCTCCACAGCCTCCCTGGGGAGACAAAGCCCCAGCACAGGCCGGGGGCGGGGGTTGGGGGGGCAGCCCCTGTGAAGCTGCCCAGCACACCCACAGCAGCCACAATCAGACACCGTGGCTTCCTCCTCTCAGTTCCCAGAACACTCGCTTAGACCCTTCGTGTGACATTCACCAAGCTCACCTTAACCCAAGCATTTGCCGATTAATAAATTCTGCTTATTGGAACCTGAGCTCCTTGAGAGCAGGGAATGTGTCACATTTATTTTCTGCAAACCTGGTGGAGTGCCTTATGCCTAATAAATGTTTAATGCCTTTAATATCAGGAAATGAGAAAATCTAAGCCCAAGGGAGAGGTGATCTGGAGAAATGGGAGAAAGCTGAGAGCTCAGCTTAGATCCCAACAATGTGGCTTTAAGCAGAGGGGCTGCATGCTAAGACCCAAGGAAAGTCTAACATAGAGGAGTGTTGGGTTCCCAACCATCCTGGAGAAGTCTTAAAGCCTTCCCTTCTCACAGGCCATCCTCTTCCTCGGACTCTACCCCAAAAATCCCTGAGTCCCCCTTGCTCTGGGACTAAAGGAGATAAGGCAGGTGGTGGCAGCAGCTAGCACAGCGCCCTCTGGTTCTCAGTCCGTCACCTGCTCCCGGCTCCCATCGGCCCCCCTCCCCTGTCCGTACTGTTCCTACTTCCATGGCCATCCCATGTTTAACTAGCGGCCCCCACGTCTTCGCTTTGTCTGGTTGACGGCGCAGACTGGGCAACTCCCTGGCCAGGCAGTGTCAGTGTCCTTCTGGGAGGTGCCAACCCAACGGGGAGTCAATACTCCCGATAATCCGGGCACCTGGTGTCCAAGAAGAAGAGGGCCAAGAAACTGGGGAAGCAGATGGGGAGATCAGGGAGTGAGGGGGATCCCCCCAAATGGTGGCAACAGGCCCTCCTAGCCCAAGGCTCCGGAGGAGGCTCCCCCACAGATGGTCTTAAGAAGTTGCTGGGCAGACGCGATGCGTGGAAGGAGCCCATCCTCACTCAGGCTGCACCTCCTGCCCAGGGCCTCCGCTCTGTCCTCCCCTGATGTCAGCACACAAGGCACTCTCAGTACCCCTTGCAAGCCCCTGGGCCTGTCTGTGCTCTGTGCCTGGCTCCCCCAGCCCCGGGGTCCTAAGAGTGGGAGAAGGATGCGTGGAGTCAGTGACACCTGTTCTCTAACAACAATGCCATTCTGTTGCCCCTGTTGCCTCAAGACGTCACCAGCCAGACACGTCCCCAGTCCCCGCTCTCCCAGGTGGGTGGCTGGTGTTAGAGACAGAAAGCCACAACTCACAGGAGCACATCCCCAGACCCAGTCCTTGAACAAAAGAAAACACAAGGGCCCCAGGCAGCCTCCTGGTCAGGACAAGGCAAGCCTCTGTTTTGGGAGATGAAGAAAAATCCTAAGACACAAAAACCTCAGGCTTTCCTCTAGGAAGAGACATAGCATCTACCTCCTTAGCAGCCCAGGGAGGGCCCTGGCACACAGGACTTCCTTCTAGCATGCCACCAACTGGGCGGAAAAATCCAGAAGAGACCTTGAGGAAGAGACTGTGCACAGCGTGGTGCCAGGTTCTCCAGATTTCCCCTCCTCTCCTGCTCCTAACCCTAACCTGCCATGGTGGAGGAAGTACCAATGAGTTTAGGGAAGTTTCGGGGGCCTGGAAGCAGCAAGTGAGATTTCCTTGGGGCTCAAACTCTAGGGTCTCTCGAGTTCCCCAACCTGAAGGAGAGAGTGGGTAACAGTGGCCCTAAACACATCTGGTATTCCGGCAGGTCCCCTGCACCCCTGCCCCCCAGAGAGCTTTCCTGGTCTTCCTTCCTAGGCACCCCATGCCTGGCATACAGTAGGGCCTTCCCCGATGTCTGATGAGATAAATCCATAGGAATGGTAACTATTTTCCCCTTTTGTCTTATTTTGTGGTTACTAGTGTCTGCAGTTCTCTCTCACTTCATTCATTCAATCGTTCATTCATTCCCACATGCATGCGTGTATATACTGTGTGTTTCTGCCAGAGAGACTGTTCCAGAGGCCGGGAGTAGAGACATACCAGGCATTGTCCTGACCTGCCAGCACCTCTTGGGTGCAGGGGCTGTGATGCCAGCCCCTTGCAAGGCCCAGCGAGGTGCTCACAAGAGGCTGGACTGAATTGGATCCGAGAGATAGTGAACACCTGTGTCCATCCCCGCCCCCTCCTTCCCCACCTGGCATCCTGGGGCCCTAGCACTGCGGGCCAGGGCTCTTGAGAACTCTCGAGACAAAATGCTCCCAAGGAGCCAGTCCAGGCCTGGGAGCAGAGTTTGCCCAGCCAAACAAAGAGGTGGCAAACAAAGACGGAGGTGCGAGGGGGCGAGGGTGGCACTGCAGCTGGGGAGGGGGCAGACGGACAGAGGCTTACCTCTTCTGCTGCAGCAGGTTCTGCTCATCTCGGCTCTGAGCCCAGGACTCCCGTCTCTGGAACCATCTGCAGAACTTGCTCCACAGGCAGAGAATTAGCCCCTTCTCCTTGGGCAGTGGCAACCCCATGGGGTGTAGGGCCGGTTCCTTGGGGGGCTGAGGCCGGACCCTGACTGGACTCAGCCTCGGGGCCACGTTGCCCCCCCCAGGGGCCAGCCTGTCCTCTCTCTGTAGAGGTCCCATCTCCTACCTCCGGGGTGAGCTCCCCGGGGAGTCTCCCTGTGGCCAGTCTGGAGAGGGCTCCGAGTTTGTTACACTTGGCAGAGGCAGCGGGGACTGTGGAGCTGCAGCTGGGAGTGAGCAGGAGCTCAGACACTCCCTCCCTCCTCCCAAATTACCTGAGATTTAAAGAGACAGGCCTCAGACCGGCCTACCATGGGGGCCTTGCGTCAACCCCAATTCTTTCTCCACCCAGGTCTTGTTGCTGCCCCTAGGCAAGTCACAGCAGGGCAGGGAAAGCCTTGGAAGAGATTGGCCAGGCCTGCCCTGGACTTTGGGTGACCTCTGGAAAGGCCTGGACAGGTCAGGCTAGCCTGAGAGACTCCAGGCATCCAGGGCGAAGGGGAGGAGTCGGGGTGGCCCATTCCCAGGACGAAGGGGCCCAGGAGTGTGCCCCAGTCCTCTCATTGCCTTCTCCGCCACCTCCTTCCCCTCCACTGTCTGCCGTCCCCCTCCTGTGTCCTGGAGACTTGGACTTTCTTGACTCTTCCAGGTTAATCCCTTGCCCGGCATAGAGAGCAAGGATTCTTAGTCCTCCCAAAGGCCCCTTGCATTCCTCACCAATTTTGGGTCTGCAAACTTTTTCTGCAAAGGGCCAGATAGTGCATGTAAATATTTCAGGCCTTGCAAGTCACGCACAGTCTCTGAGGTACGCTCTTTTTTGTTTGTTAGTGTTGTTTGTTTTTTTAACAACTCTTTAAAGATGTAAAATCCACTCTTAGCTCTCCAGCCAGGGCACAAAATCTAGCTGTGGGCAGATCCCTTCCCTGAGCTCAGGAGACCCTCCACAACGCCACGTACGTGGGGTGGGTGCCAGAGAAAGCACAGGACACACAGTCACATCTGCATTTTGGGTAAACAACAAAGAATTTTTTAGTATAAATATGTCCCAAACTGTGCCAGTATTTTATCTGTCAGTCTTCCAGGGGGGACAACATTTATTCACCTGCTACGGCGTGCTGGGCCACTGAACTGCGTGCTCCCCCGTAAACACACAACAAACCCGTGAGACGGGTATTAGCAGTAAAGTAATCTCCTGAGGTCGCAGAAGTGGCAGAGGTGAGAGTCAAGCCCCCCTCGACGCCAAGCCCACCTTCCTTCTCCTACCGCCCTCCCTCACTCCTGCCGGCACAGAGCTCCAGAGAGGCTAAGTGACTTGCACGTCACACCGAAGAGTGACGCCATACAGCACAAGCCCATCCTCGTCCCACAGCGTGGAACTTGCTGGAAGCCATCCTAAAAGTCCTGTAGCTCACCTTTCCCACTGGAAAGAAGCAGAGGCTGGGTTTATCCGTGTCCCACCGCCAGCCAGGGGTGAGCGGCTGGGCGCCATGCAGCGTGTTCAGTCCCAGGTGTGGGGGTCGGTTCTTAGCTTCGGAGTCAGTTTTTCCCCATCTCTGAGTCAGAGCTGGAAGGTCCAGGGAAGAGAGTGTGTGAGTGTGTGTGGTGCGTGCACACGGAATGTGTGTACATGTACGTGTGTGTGTGTGGTGTGTCGTGAGTGGTGTGTATAGTATGCATGTGTTATGGGTGTATGTGACGAGTGTGTGTGTGCATTTTTGGTGTTTGTGTGTGTAATGTGATGGTACGTGTGATATGGGTGTGTTATATGTAGGCGTATGGTATGTGGTGTGTGTGTTGTATTGTGTTCTATGTATGTATGGTGTGTGCAGTGTGTGACGTGTGTTGTGTGTTTATGGTGTATGTATGTGGTATATGTAATGTGTGTGTGGCTTGGTGTGTGTATGCATGGTGTATATGATGTACGTGTATGTATGTTGTGTGTATATATGATATATATGTATGTTATATGTGGCATGTACAGTGTGTGTATGGCATGTGTGGGCCTATGATGGTATGTGTGATGTGGGTGTGTGTGTTGTACATGTGTTATGTGTATGTCTATAGGGTGTGTGGGGTGTGTGATGTGTGTTGAGCATGTGTGTTGCATGTGTACATGTGTGGTGTGCGTGTGTTATGTGTTGCATGTGCGGTATGTGGGGATGTACACACACTAGCATGTGTGTAGGGAGGGGATGCTAGCTAAGCGGCTGGGGTAGCAGGGCCACCTTCAAAGGGAAAGCTGCCTATGCTCCTGCTTCTGGGCCCACGGCCAGGCAGCGCAGCCCTGAGCAAACAAAGCATTCTGATTAGTGCCGTCCCCACCTGCCAGGTCAGTGGGTTCAGGCTGGGTGGGCAGATGGCACTCGGATCCAAACCTTGAACCCAGGACCTTTGTGCCCATTAGCCAGCGTTTGTCTGCTCACTGACCCACCCACCTCTGCTCTACTCAGCTGCAGGTGAGACCCCAGGTTAGTCCCTGGTGGAGGAGGGGATAATGCATAGCGCGTTTGTCTGGCTGGAGAGGGAGGCTGCAGAGGACAGGATGGGTGGACGAAGTCATTTTCCGAGTTTCTTAACCTCCTGTGGCTTCCTCCAGCTGCTGTTGCCTTGCAGTCAGCCCACAGGTAGAAAATTGAGAACAGGCTCAAAGGGGTTGCAGGGATAGGAGGGGAGGGGAGTTTTGGGGATACAAGCTCTGGCAGCAATGCTCCCTCAGTCCCCACACCCAGCCTCGTGTGCTTGGTCATCAGGGAGGGTGGGCGGCCCCCGGGGGCTCATAACGGCACCCCCATTGCCTCCCAGGCTGACATTGGAAACTACTTTCCCTGTCCCTTCCCAGAGCACTCGTTCCCGGGGGACAGGAAGGACGGTCTGGCCCTCCTCCTCTCTTGGAATGGCACAGCCCCCTCCCCACTCCCAGGCCTGTTCCGCCACCCTGTCAGGGTAACTCCTGACAGGACACGGGAGCAGTCGGTCCTGTGACCCCAAGTCAGGGAGTGTTGGGGGTGAGGGGAGTGAGGGGAGATTAGAACTCATGGGAGGGTGGTCGCGGGGGCTGGCTTCATCTTGCGAGACGTGCCGTCACGCCCTCTCCAACCCGCTTGGCCAGGCTCCAAATTCAAGGAGGCTTTTGTGACGCTGAGCAAGTCACTGTTGTCCCTCTCAGTGGTCTCATCCATAATGATGAGCGAGTGGCCTGACATCGAGTCTGCCCTGACCTCCTGGTGGTTCCAACCGAGCCCTGGGGAGAACTGAAGGGGTCCGGCCTCATGAGAGGGAAAACAGATCTATATCGTGTTGACCTGCTCAGGACGGGGTGGTTCCAACCAGATCTTCATGCCTTGGGCTGAGCCTCAAACTCTAAGTAAAAATTAGATCCTCAGGATTCACTGAGGGCCCCAGAGTAGGACTGGCGCCCTCCAGGGCCCGCACAGTGGGGCTGGAGGTGGTTGGAAAGGTATGTGTGTGCAGATGTCAGTCCCGCAGCACAGGTCACAGTCCCGCTTGGGGCATGGGAGCTGTTTGATGCTGGTTTCAGCAGTTGGGGAATGGTTTCTCGACCTGGCACTACCGATGATATTTTGGAACAATTCTTTTCTGTGGGGGCTGTCCTAGCAATTGCAGAATGTTTAGTGGCATCTGAGCCTCCATTCCCTAGGTGACAGTAGCATGTCCCTCCCCTCAGTCCTGACAACCAAAAATGTCCTCAGACATTGCCCAATGTCCCCTGAGTGGCAAAATCATCCTTAATTGAGAACCACTGATTGAGACCCAAAAAGTGTGTGTGTGTGTGTGTGTGTGTGTGTGTATACATGTACGTTTTTTTCAAGTATTGTCTCTTTTTTTGTTTGTCTTATGTCTTTCTATGTTTCCCTCAGTTTTTCCTTTGTCACTGTGCAGTCGTGTCTCTGCTTTCTTAGTTTTGGTCTCTGTGCTGGAGCATGTGTGTGTGGGCACATGTGTTGTGTGTGTGGTATTTGATGTGTGTGTGCTATATATTTATACAGCATGTTGTATAGTATGTGTGCTGTGTGTGAGTGTGTTTGTGTGTGGCATGTGTGGTGTGTTTGTGGTGTGGTGTGCACATGTGTATGGTGTGTGTTGTATGTGGTGTGCGTGGTGTGTCGAGTAGGGGTGTATGATTTGTTGTGAGTTGTGTTGTGTATGGCGTGTCTGGTGTGCACGTGTGTGTTGTGCTTGTGCGTGTGTGTGCCTGTGTCTATGACTGAGAGGTCTCTCTGTGGCCCCCTGGACTCCCTCTGTCCTGCTCCTCTTGCTCTCTGCCTGCCTCTGCCTGCAGCGGAGGGCGGAGGAGACACGGTCTGTCTGCCAGGGCAGGGAGCAGGGCTCGCGGGGCGGGCCCAGGTGCTCCGAGGATAGAGCCAGCCAGGGGCGGTGAGGTCAGCAGCACTGCTCACGCAGCTTGGACTTCGCTCCAGCCACTGGGTTCACAAGCCCTGGGTGACAACTCCTACAGCCTGCAAGGGAGCCGGCGACAGCGCACACACGCCACGAGCACCTGCGGGCTGGGGAGGACAGATAGGACGCTGCTGAGAGGTCTGACTGGGAGCCCCGTGAATCGGGCCCGAGTGCTGGCTCTGTCACTCCCCAGATGGTCCTTAGTGCTAAAACCCTGTGAGGTCATTTTCAACTCAAGCATCCTGTGATTCTGAAGAAATATGAGTCACGTTTCAAGTGTGTGCAAAGTCACTTCAGCTTTCCTAGGTCATGAGGTCGAATTTGTTGCAGAACTCTCACGTACTTTTCCCCAAAATGTGATTTTAGTCCCTAACCCCCTGTTCTCATCCCAGTTGGCAGCCGCAGAGCCATCTCTTTGCCCCAAGCCCTCATTTCCTATAAACTCTCAGTCCCAGCCCCCTTAACCCCCAGCCCCGGGCGCGTTGTATGTGGAACTTCAGACTCCGCATGCTTCCTTGGCAAGGCCTGGGGAGGGGCCCGGAGGAGGGTGGTAGAAGGGCTGAGTCGGCGACGGGGCACGGGGAGGCACCGCGCAGCCAGCTCACCTGCTCAGATGTGCATGTGCACAAGAGTTGACATAAATTTATGCATGGCGTATTTTATGTCAACACAAATCAATACATTATAGCAATGTTTGGGAACAATTGTGCGTATGTGTCTGTTTTCTGGCATTCTCCCAGTAGTCTGTAGATTTCAAAATCCACAGGCATTTAGTCCTCCTGGCCCCCAACCTTTA